TGCTAGTCAGAGTAGAGGCCAATACTCAGAATTCAAAGTCGGATTTCTTTTGGACAGGTATTGCTTTTGTAGCACTGTAAAGTTGTGTGTGTGTGTGTGTGTGTGTGTGTATGTGTGTGTGTGTGTGTGTGTGTGTTTGTGTGTATGTGTGTATTCAATATATGTATTATGGATGTATGCACATGTGAGCACACATCTGTGCACATGTGTGTGTGGAAACCAGTAGTAGATGTCTGGTACCTTCCTCTATGGCTTTCAACTTTATTTTTTGAGACAAGGTCTCCCACTGAACCTGGAGTTCATCTGCTGGGGAAGATTCGCTGCCCAGATCTCCAGGGATCCTCCCGTCTCTGCCTCCCCAACACTAAGATTATAGACACAGGTTGCTGTTTCTCTATGTGGGCATCAGGGATCTGAACTCGGGTCCTCATGCTCTCATTGCAAGCACTGTCCTGGCTGAGCCCAATCCCCAGATTGAAAACTCCTAAGTAGAGCCATTGTAATTCAGAAGCTTGTATTTATTCCTGCATTAATGCATGCTTCATCATATAGCTAGCTTGCTTTTGAATGCTCAGACACTAGTGTTGCATCCCATGCTCCCTACTTTCTGATCCTAGAACTGGTTTTTGAATTTCCTACGTCTCCGCATAATTCCTTAACTTCACCCCGTCTCCTCCCTGCCTCAACTGTATCCCAGGTGGTGCTCCCTCCACACCCAGGCCCCCAGTCAGGCAGACACACTGCTGGCCCGTTGACTCGGCACTTGAGAGAGGTTTTCCTTCTCCCAGCCATCACCCTCCACCCGTGACTATTCTCCTCCTCTCCTTCCTCAAGGTGAGGACAAACTGACCCTCCCTTGAGACCTTCTCAGGCCGCCCAGGCTCATCACCAGCATGATCAACAATAAAAAGACGTTAAGAATATTTAGATCTTACATGAACTTTTACATGTGTTGGCCCTTTAAATGATCAGCTCCTTCTACCAAGTGAAATATTTTGGATGTTAATCTATTATTTCCTGTGCAGCTTCCCTGTCTTCTCTGTGTGTGCTAGCTATAGATCCGCGGTGTAGTCTTGTGCCAGGAGAAATGCCTAGTAAGGTGAACTTTGGGCCTCCACAGTCCTCACAATGAGCCCTTTCGCACTCCCAGGGTCTCCTTGAGGTCTCTAAGCGTGGGTAAGAGAGTCTGCTATTTGTAAGTCTGTCCTCTTTTAAAGTGGGAGGTATGGGACCGGAGAGATGGCCCAGAGGCTAACAGCATTTGTTCCTGCAAAGGACCAGGCTTTGATACACAGCACACACACAAACGGGGATGCTCGTGAGTTTTTCTATCGGGGATGTTTTTCAGGTAACTCCTGTTTTTGTTTTGCTTTGCTTATTAGCTTCAGCGTTCTGGAGGTGGGACAGATGACTTCTATAAACACATCACTCCTTCAGCACGTTTAACATGCTGTCATTGTCATCTGCCGCTGTTAACTAGCCCCCGGTGTGGATGTCACGACTTCTCAATCAATTGCTCCTTGCTTACCCTATTAACCTCTCAAGAGTAAGAAGTCATGATAGTCACACACGCCTCTGCTATTTTATTAGAAAGCAGGGATGGGGCTGGAGAGATGACTCCCTGGTTAAGAGCACATACATACTGCTCTCGCAGGGGACCAGAGTTAGTTTCCCATCACCCATGTAGGGTGGCTCACCACCACCTGTAACTCCAGCCCCAAGGAATCTAACACTCTCTTCTGAACCCCTCTGGCACCTGCATTCACAGGGGGAACCCCTCACCCCAGCTGTCACACACATACATATGCCTATAATTTAAAATGAATTTCAAAAATAATAGTAAAATTAAGCACACACTATGTGGGAAGGTCTACGACAGGGTGGGGACGGGACGGATGTGGTGGCACACATACTTGTAATCCCAGCACTCAGGAGGTGAAGAAAGCAAGGTGAGGCGTTTAAGGACAGCCTGGGCTGACCCTGTCTCCAAAAAAAACAACAAATAAAAAAGCCCGGAGTGCTTTGGAAGTGGTAGCAGAAAAGAGACAACATTCTGGTGAGGAGAGCGAGAGACGGCTTTCTGTAGCCGGGGATTTGAATTGGTGTTATGTAAGTTCCTCTAGAATTAAAACATTCCGTCCTTTAAGAAAGCTCCTTAAGCAGGAGTACACAATTCAAAATAGTTTCAGGAAGTCCCTGAAATTGACCAGATTCACTAGGTCCCTCCCCTGTCAGAGTAAGCAGTAAAAGCTGAGAGTCCTTCTCAGAGGAAGGGAGGCAGGCAAGCTGCAAAGAAGAATCTGAGACCAGACTGACTGCCTGGAAGAAGCAGAAACCAGTTGAGTTGTCTGGAAGAGGTTTAGACCAACTGAGGCACCTGCAAAGGACACTCTCCAGCCTGTAGAGCCACCTGCAGACTGCACTGGGGTACAAGTTCGCAGCTTTGTGACCTGCCCCTCATGCGGGGTGGGCTTTGGTGATGCAGCTGTCTTCAAATCGTTTCTTCTGCTGTAAGTAACCCCCATCCATACCCCTGTAAGTAACCCACCAATAAAACTCACAGGTTCACCAAGTTGGACTCGGTGGTATGCATACTTTGGTCTGCCAAGGTTCCCTATCTGGGCTGAGTAGCCATGTATGTTGCATCTCCTCAGAAAAAGGTTTTTCACACCACAGCTGGGTCTTGGTAGACAGGTCACGGCAGGTAGCAGCATTACAAGCCTTGTGGAGGTGAAAATAAGGAGGGAAGAAGAGGGAAATGCAGGTGTCGCATGTGTGGAATGTAGTCAGGCTGAAGTTCTGAGAGCAACCCATACACAGTGTCAGTGTCTCTCTCCCCCTGTTCAGTTTGGAATAAACGGATTAGCAAAACAAAAGAGTAGCAGATGGGGCCCACAGTGTCACCTTCATTATTGATAAGGGGAAAGCTGGAGGAGTCACCTTCAGATGAAAGGCCAGTGCCACTGAACAGCTCTGCCACAGGCGGCTTGCTCCAGTGCACGGCGGTCCTGTGAACTGCCACCCCGTGTCTGAGCATCTTCAACTGAAACTTTCAACTCCGGAACTCGAGGTTGTTGAGTGAGAACAAATGGTACTTCAAGGTGAATAAATTACTTACAATCATTTATTTTGGACTAGTCTTCTCTTTGTGCCCTTCCTCCAACACACAAAAAGCATCTTATTTATAAGGTTATTCAACCTAATCACCTAAAGTGAGCTGGAATCACATTCCATGAAAATTCACTGTGGCTCTTCATATTACACAGAGCTCCTCGGGAACCTCAGGTGTGAACGGGGATGTCTTGGCCTGCTTTCATTTGGAAGGTTCTAAATGTTAAGGTGAATGAGACTCAATTTTCAGAGTTCTCTACCTTCCTTAGCAGCTAATCATGTTGGACAGCCAGCCAGCTTTACCTGGAATGAGGTTGCTGGGGTCGAGAGATCTGCTCTCCGGAGTCATTTGGAGGCTGAGGTTCAGGTAGGTGTGCAGATGGTTGGGGCCAGTGGAGTCTGGTGGCGAGAAGCAGGGAAAATCAGTCAGCTACCTTGAACATCTGGGCACTTGGAAGGAAGTAGTGGAGAACACAGGGTATAGAGGGATAGGAAAACGTGGACAGTGAGGGGTGAGGGCTTCTGGAGGCTACAGGTTCCTGAAGAAGGCTACTTCAGAAAGAGCCTGAGTTTGCCAAGCCAAATCACTCCCAGCATTCCTGAAAACAAACTGCAAATTCAGCACTTCCTGCTGTTCATGCCCTCATGCGAGCATTTTGTCATGGCAGCAGATCTGTCATTCTGGGCACGGATTCTATTAAAACTAAGAAGGAAGGGTGCAAATATTCATAAAAAACAGTTGCCAACTGCTCAGCACTTTCTCGAATTCTCACTACAACCCTTCAAGGTCAACATTAGCTTCCTTACCACTGTCCAGACAGGGAAACTCAGAGGAGACTCAGAGAGGGAAGTGGTCTTAATCAGCTTGGAACTTTTGGCTCCCTGTCTTTAGAGATGCGTTCTTCTGGCGGTTTTCAGTAGACCAGGAGAGCAGGGACATGCCTGCTCTGGTAGGAGAGGGCAGGGAGAAGCTGCTGTAGGGGTGTAGGCGTTTGTGGTTATTGGTTGGGTCATCTCTTGGGCTACATTGGCGTTTAAGTGTTATGTGAGCTGAAATATGTATGAGTTGGGGGGAGGGGTAGAAATTGGTTCTTGAGCCACGTGAATATGTGGGTTGAAGCTTTGATGATGGCAAACAATGAGAGGGCTTGACTTTTATGCACTATTGTAAGTGTGTGTGTGTGTGTGTG